ATCCTGGTTCAAGTCCCAACTTGACCTTCAGGTCAAGGACCTTCAAGTCCTTACTTTGACCAAGGTAGACAAGGGTAGGGGGAACCAAGCCTATCCACCCAATGCAGAGGACCGATGTCTGGTCAGTGGAGCGGAGTGCTATTACGTTTGAAAAGCAGTAAAGAGCAATATAAAGTCTTTATAAAAAATCTGTATTTAAAATCCATTTGAACAGCTGCACTTCAATAGTCAAACTAATGGGGGTGCAGGGCAGGTATACATATTTTGATGGGGACTCACTCCAGCACAGCCTTTGCAATCCGTGCTGTAAGTCCTTTACCGGCACAACCCTCTTTGAATGAAGTCCTGAAGGGTTGAACCCATATTAAAAATCTCTAATATGAGAAGAATTACAGCAAGGTTACAATATAATTAACCTGAGTTATCTTTCAAAATTCCTGCTGATATATATTCTGCCACTTCAGACTGTGTTCATGCTGTGATTTTTAAAATTAGCAAAGAAGGAGGTTTTCATATTCATTCAAACTAAAAGGATACAGGAATGTTTGCATAAAAAGAAAAAGTTGGTCAGTACTTTCTATTATTTCCTTATTCTTTTAACAGGTTTTTTTAAATGGCAGCTCTGTATAGCAAAGCCTTATTCTGTCCACTTCCTAGTCTGCGGAATAGTCTGCTAGTCTTATTTAAGGATCATGGTGACTCCTTTCACTGCTTGGAGGAAAAAAAAAAAAGCAAAATCAGGGCTATTATCCTGTGTTTATAACAAGTCTATTACCATAGTAACAACTGTGATGTCACAAACCCTACACCAGGGGCCAAATTCTGTCTCTAATGGGGGAAGGGCAGCTCAGCCTTGGAAATCAGACAAAATTGTGTACAAACATGTGTGGCCAAAGCAGGAACAATGCTTGCGGTAATCACCAAAGCATGGGGAGCTACTCTTCTCTGAAGAAAAGGGGAGCAGGCACAAAAAAGCAATTCCCCAGGGCCAGAAAAAAGCTGCACCCACACTTCTGTCCGCAGCTGTGCAAAAGGAGGGTGGAAATCCAAGCAAGTGTGGTATCACCATGTTCCCAATCACAAGTATTCCACTGGGCCCACCGGCTGCCAAACATGGATGGGATCCAGTGGTGAGCCCGCCCAAGCACATGAAACACACTCTGGAACTGGTGCCCGACCAGATGGAGCCCTCTGGTACCTCGGAGGGGAAGCAACTTGCCCCGTGATGGCAAGCACTTTAAAACCACACTGGGGTTTTACTCCTACTAGGTCAACCCAGTTCACAGAATCACAGATTCTCAGGTTCAGAGAAACTCATCAAGTCTCCCAAAAGATGTGGACTTTAAAAAATGACCTTTTACAGGAACATGTTGTATCCCCTGTCACTGAGGCGTCTGAAGTAGCAGAGTAAGAAGTACTCTTATTCTGATACAGTCTAAGGAAGTTTTGTACAAATATGCTGAAAAGGCAACTTTGTATTAAAAAGAATATTGAATCAGGAGTCAGAAGACATTGCTACCAGTCTTGGCTCAAGAATTTAGAAGTCTCCTGATCTTGAGCAAGCCATTTAACCTATCTGACCTTCAGTTCCTTATGTAACCATATCTAGCGTGCTATTTCCTGGGGTCATTGTAAAGATCAGATTAAATAAAATAATGAATGTGAATGAGCTTCATAAACTATAAGGGATTTCACCCAAACATAAGGTATTATTATTATTGGCATTTTCACATAGCCAGTTTATAGTAGAACAGGAATAATTTGAATGCTAACCATTATTTTCCTTCCAGAAATCCAAAACGTACACATGATCCTCGTCTTCCCTACCCCAAAAGGTGCACAGTTGCATGATACAGTCAATTTTAAATTATTTAGGGGCTTGGGGCGCCTGGGTGGCTCAGTCGGTTAAGCATCTGACTTCAGTTCAGGTCATGATCTCACAGTTCATGAGTTCGAGCCCTGTGTTGGGTTTTGTGCTGACAGCTTAGAGCCTGGAGCTTGCTTCAGATTCTCTCTCTCTCTCTCTCTCTCTCTCTCTCTCTCTTAAAAATAAATAAACGTTAAAAAAAAATAAATTATTCCAGGGTTGATTATAGAGGGACCTTTTATTTCTGGCCATTATGCCATTTATTACTTTCCCTTAGGAATACTATGTTAGCCTAGATACAGCTATAAAATTGACAGGAAATGTGCCTCAACTCAGTTACCTGTGTAACAATTCTGGTAAAAATTTTTAACAAAAGGAGAAACTGAAATGATTCATTAGATGGAAGTTTTGTGATAATCTGTGATAAACATGGATAACTTATCCATGGATAATGACTCACATCACTGTCAGTAAAGCTATGGTCAATTTCGGACAGGTTGGGACTAATCCAGCCAAGATACTAACATTCTCTCAGTGAACAACAAAGCGGCCTGTACTGTCTTATGTATGTGCAATAGGTATTTAAATATCAGTTCAGTTCATTCAGTTTTCAACAAATATTATTAGAGTACTACGATCTGCCAAAGCTCACCACATACCCTGAAAACCCCACTCTCTTCCTGTCCATGTTGCTGTCCCTCATGATATTACACAAAAGACATTGGCAAAGCTCATGGCCTCACTCTTAGAAACTCTATTCACCTTCCTATTATCATGAGGCTTTTGCCAATCTTACCCTAGTGCAAAAATCAGCAACCTGTTGTCCTGGGGCCAAACCCTCCCTGCTGTCTTTTTTGTAAATGAAATTTTATTAGAACATAAACACGGCCATTTGTTTATATATTATCTGTGGCTGCTTTCCTGCTACAACAGCAGAGTTCAGTAGCTGTGATACAGCTGTGAGACAGCATAGCCCAAAGCCTAAAATACTATCTGGCCCTTTACAGGAAAAGTTTGTGGACCCCTGTACTATATAATATGACTAAATCAAAATTCATCTCTCCTGTAAGTGTTTCTGTGTAGGGATTAATGGAGAAAACCCCTTGAAAGCAGAGATCCTTTCTGTATTCTCTGTCTTGTCATATAGAACCCAGGAGAAGCACAGAGTCAAGGTTTGGAGCAGATACAGAAAATTAAACACGTCCTCCCCTACATTTTGTTTTCAACAGATGAGTGCTTTGGAGTTGCATGAAGACAGCATAAAACCACTGGTGTTCGGTTACTCTGGCTTCCAATTCCTCCAAGTTCCTATGTCTAAGACTTCCAAGGCTCAATTTTTGGCCTGTATCCTTTTGCATATTTATTTCCTGATCTGATGTGGAATTAGAGTTAAATGGGAGCTGTGTGCTTGAATTCCACGTGGCTGGCTCAGCAGGAAACTCCAGGGCAGGTTTTTTGGCATGCCAAACTCATGTTAGCCTCAGCTATGTTAATTTCTAAAGCTGTTTGCTTTGCTCAAATAAATCTTAGAGGGGAATTTGCATTTGGATGCACACCTTTTTATGCACAAATTATGTGCATGATAATTCTAGGGCAGACCAAGGACTGAAAAAAAAAAGAGGCATGGTGTTTACTGAATGGCTTTCGTGTGGCAGGTACTATGCTAGGTGCTTTACATATATTTTCTCATCTCATGGCCACAATAATACCATAGGATGAAACTGTGATCCCCATTTTACAGATGGAGAAACTGAGGAGAAGAGAACTCATTTAATGTGTGCATGTTCACAGAGCTGGCAAGTGACAAAGCCTAGACTTGAGCCCAATCTGTCTAAATCTGAAGCCAGGGTTCTTTCCACTTAGACACACTGCCTTAATGATACTCTTTATCATCACCTCTTACTGAAGCCACTGGACACACATTCGAATATGAACCCTACATTTACAAAATCAGTCACCCCCTCCTTTCCAGTAGCCTATGCAAAGTATGTTTTTGGCCCTTGGGAGATACACCTGGGCCCCTCTGCATCAGAAAACAATCAACCAAAGGAGACTAGGGGCATTAAAAAGGTAAATTCTATATGATACACAAATTATGTTAGTAATTAGCAAACACAATTTCAAGTGATTTTGACAGATAAATGGATTTCAAGGACATATCTGAGGGCCTCAATTTTAAAGGACACTTTTACTACTAAAATGTAGTAAGCTAAGGAAGAGAATGTGCCCATACTATGAAAGAAAATGTTAGTAACACTTAGAATATGGTACAAAAATATCTACAACATAAGCCTAGGAATTTATATCTACAAATATCCTCACTGTTTATGAAAACAATTGCACACCTATCTCCCCTAAAAAAAAATGCAAACATTCTCTTCCGTAAGTTATGCTAAGTACTGCCATCAAAACTCACTGTTTATCATTGTTCAACTCAATATACAGAAAAATAGTAAGTCTAGCAATTAAGCATTCTAGCATAATTCCAACATTTCACAGCAAGCCAGATACAATGCTACTGAACTTCTTTCTCTGCATGGAACATGGCTGTAACCTAGCTTGCAACATCATACAATGCTCAGTCCTTTGCCATCCAGCTTCATACACTGCCATCTGGTTTTCTGGAAATATTAAAGAACTGATTACATTTTCATGCAAGTAAAATTCAGACATCCATTTTTCTTTAACGCTCTCAAAGAGAGTTTTCCAGGAATTAGAAAGAATCTGTGGCAAAGATGGATAATCTAGGTTGTTTCTGAAGTGGATTTAGAAGGGTGGCCCTCTGGGGAGAGCTTGCCCTCACAACACTACCACCCAGGTCAGCCAGTCAGTATATAAAATTATTTCACCTTTCTTTTTTTATTTTGTAACAGATTATTTCAGAGAAGGAAAATAACTTTTCTGTAGCCAGTGGCAGGAAATATTCATTCAGTTAAAAGGAGATTGGGGGAATTTGCCTAAGTTTGCCTAACAGAGCAATACTCCTGTAAATAATACATGCACTAGTATCTCTTGTCACAAAATTCCTAAAACAGTCTTTTCCAAAGTTAACTTGAGCATTTAATAATGACTTATAAGATAATGACAACTACTTTCTGAGTCGTTCTCCTTGGAAACCCCAGTAGTGACTTACCTGCTGGTGGCTTTATGAAGGGTGGAGGGATTAAAGGTACAATAATGGGCACATTGCCATGATCCTTGGACCCTGCAGGTGAGTCACTGAGTCCATTTCCTGTGGCAAGCCCTGAATAGCCTGTGCTTATATTGTATGGTGAAATAACACTGTCCTCAGGTAATTTTGGTTTTGGCAAAGAATTTTCTGTAAAAGAAAAGAAAATCATGTTCAATGTAACAAAAGGACTTGTTTTCCTTATGACCACATTTTCTCAAGCAAAATGGCTATGGATAACAAAATAAATTTTTCCTTGCAAATCTTTAAACACTTTACCAGAACTGCACAGACCATCCTGGACCTTTTCAGTCTTGTTACCATAAATTTCCAATGGGCTCCTTTATAATTTGCTCCACTATGATAGCTAACATCTCAATTGTATCATGGTGATGAATTTCCGCGCTGTAAAGCCCATAGAAAATTGAGAGGCAATTAACATTTCCCACGTACCAAGTGATATATAGCAGGGCTCACTCTCTGGCTAAAGGGGAGGGGGGGCTAAAAATTTGCCCCTCCAGGCCTATAACTAGGTCCCACTGTATTAAAAAGTTTGGTCATAATATAATCAAAAGAACCAATGAGAAAGAAGCAGATTATTTGAAAGAAAACTGTTTCACAAGGTAAACTCTTTAAATGAACTCATTAATAACCCATTAATTTTGTTAATATTAACAAAAGTGAAAATAAAGAAAACTTACAATGATATGAATTTTGTGAATTTTATCCTTGTATGTGAATCATTAAAAAAAAAAAAATTCAACCATGGAAAACAACTTTTTCCCTCTAGTAGCATATCCTGGCACTCTCCATGTTCCCCAGAGGCAAAGATTATTACCTAGACCAAGTATTATACGAGCTATTAGTTTATAGAATATAAACTCATGACTTGCATTTTTCATTTACAGTGAAATTGATGATACTATCTCTGTAACATGATGTGTACAATTTCATAGCAGGCTTAACATGAAATTTGTCATGTACGTTCAATTCCACATGCCTGCAGGACAGCTCATTTACATTTTGTTGCTTGGCATATAAGAAGGAAAAGCCCTGTCGTAGACACTCGCAATAAAATGCATGAGCAGGTAGTTTACGCCAATAGATTTTGAATGCAGGGCAAATACTGATCAAATTGCCAATGATGACACACAATGAATTTTGCCCACATTTTATTGAAGTTCCCCACATGGATTGCTTCTTTATATACTCCTTTTCTTTGACAAACAAACTCTCACTCCAAATTTAGGTTCATAAATTCAGTATCCATATCAACACCCACCAGTGGTTCTAGGCTTCCCTCATGAAGTAGCTGACACTATCTGCTGATAGAATCAGTGTTAATTTTATTCTGCCACGACTCTAATTTCCACTCTGTAGCAGGGCTTTGATGAAAATTCTTATAGAGTAATGTGGGATCCAATCATGTACGACTCTCTTATTCCTCTTACCCTATCCAAGGCTGGGGGCAGGAAGGAATTCAAACACAAAACAGAAATAGGGCTTTACTTTAGAATTCCCACCAAAAAGAGAGGAAGGGGGGATTACCAAAAATTCTCTCTTAAGAGTCTCAAAATCCAAACCTAATATTTCACTTAATAGGAAGCACCAGTCCCCAATAACTAATATATCAAAGGACACAGGGGGAGAACATAGCAGATGTTGTCCCTTTCTATAAATTTGTGGGCAGGACCATAACACTTAAAGTCCATAGCCCTTGCTAGCTAGTTCTCTCATTGCTGGAAGGAGATTAAGCTGTGTCTATTTTTGTTTTATGTTGTGCTCTTATATTCTGTGGAATTCTGCTTATGGGAAAGCACTACTGGGGATGTACATTTAAATCAACCATTGGCATAATCAACAAAATGAGTCCCAAAGCAACTCAATTCTGGCAGGTTGAGATAGTTAATCCTTCTTTGCATGAACAAAGGGACATTAAATGTCATTACCTTTGAGAACAGAAATGTGCTGCCGGCTCTCTCCATCTGTAGGGTAGCTCCTGAATTCAATATCTTCACCATCTTTCAATTCAACCTTATCATAGCCATACCAGCCAAGGAGTTCATTCATAGTGTTTTCTGCAAAGTTCTGAAAGAGAAGCACAGGTTCCTTTTTTATATAATCAATAACTATTTGAAACGAATGCATAAGTCGAATTCTGTTTGCACTACCCGTTTAATGCCAGCCCTGCCCCACCTCCCCTAGAGTCGTGTTCATTTTTCAAATCACGTTCAAACACTGTAATGCATTTAAATCTCAGGATGACGCATCCAATTATGACAGGCCTTCAGACATTTGCAATTTAAAGATAATAAGAAAAAAGGTATTAGTCTGTTTTGCTTACAAATAGGAAGTCATATTTTAGCATATTCTGCAAAGTTTATACCCCAGACTAACACAAAAGGTAAGGCACGAAAACAGCTAAGAAAATATTTGAAAATGAAAACAATCAAACTTTTGGTGGCTCAGATTAATTTAAATTAGAATTGCTTTCTGATTCAGGTATTGTTCTTTAACATGACTCTTAGATAAAGCAAAATCTCAGCAAAGAAATAATTTCTCAATTGTCAAGGCTACAAGGGTCTCCCTTTTTAATTTTCCCGTTTGCAAACGTATACTTTAAAAATCAATGCATAATTTGCTTTACAAATTTCACTACTGACAGATTTCCTTCTCCATAAAATCAAAGGTCACTATGATTGTCTTCCAACAAGTAACATAATAGTACCAAATAACTTTAAGGTTAATAGCCAGCCCAGATTTTGGATAACACATGAAAATAGTTTATGAACTATAAACCAACATATAAATGTAAGATATCATTATTGTTGTTATTATTGATACTAAACTGTGAAATAATGGGTATAGTTGGACAGCTTTAAAGCTTTAACATCAGGTGGCTATTTTTTTGCGAACTTATCAACTGCTAGATCTGGAAACAAGACGTGAGACTGTATTAATGATCTTAATGCTTGCATGTGCCTTAAAACATCTCTAAGAAATAGAGTAGAGTGGTAGTCACCAGAGCTGGGGGGTGAGGGAAATGGGGAGATATTGGTCTAAGGGTACAAATTTCCAACTATTAGATTAACAGGTTGGGAGATATAATGTACAGCATGATGATGATAGCTAATAGTACTGTATCATATACTCAAATGTTGCTAAGAGAGTAGATCTTCAATGTTCTCACCACAAAAAAGAAATGGCAACTATGGCAGGTTGGAGGCGTAGCTAATGCTACAGTGGTAATGATTTTACAATATATAAATACATCAAATCAACGCATTGTACACCTTAAACTTACACAATGTGTCAATTATATCTCTTATGTTCTTATGTGTCAATTATATCTCAATAAAGCTGGGGGAATTTAAAAATAAAAAGCAGGACACTATGCTACAGAATAAGGGCTTAATAAATGTTGAATGAATTCTTTTTTTAAAAAAAATATTTATCTGGAAAGGCATCCTGAGCTTCCTAGACTTGCTAGAAAAACTATATATTCTAACCTCTGTGACCCAAAGAATCTTTTCTCATTCTCCCTAGAAGCTGTCATTTCCAAATTACATTGGGATGTATAATTTATATACCTGAAACAAAGCACCCAGGCTAAACCAAGAGTGTACATAGCCTCAACGTGTGAGTTCCATGTTCTCTTGAATTTCACGACTTTAGATTTCAGCAGGGATTGCATAAAAAAGAAAAGATATTACACTAGTGACTCCACAAAAACAAACCTGGCATTTCAAACCTCCCACAGAATGTTAGATTCTTTGCTTTAGTGCCCACTTAAGCTCAGGGCTCCAACTGGGTCTATCTGTGATGGTATAGTGCACCAGCAATTTTAAAAAAAATCTAGCCAGATTGATTCAGTGCTACCATCCACAAGGCCAACAGTCAACCATATCACGCTTTAGTGAGGCATTTATTCTCTCTGATGGCTGGTCATGTCCACATTAAATAGACATTCTTTTCATGAATGCACAAAGATGATATGATCGATATGTATAATAAGCTCAGCAACCTCTGGAATACCACTGAGGAGGACTCAGCTAAATGCTGTTCTATTCAATCAAGAGAGATCCCTTTAATGAGGCGTCAGTCTCCCCTAACACCCAATTTTTTTCACTAAGCTGAGCGCCTGGTCTGGAGAATGACAGTCCCTAAGCGCACAAATCGAGGTCCTCCATCAGTGGTCTGGCAGCAGAAATCTCCACGAAGAAGGATTACACCTTACATCAAAACACCAATTCCCCACAGTGTTAAAAGCCAAGTTCAAACCATCTTATTGGTCTGTGTGCTATTTGCCCCAATCTCCAAGAGAACTGTGCCAACAAGACAGAAAATCTTTTGCATAGTAACTCTTGGCCACCATATCCAATTTTCTAGATCGTTTGTATCTGGGCGCCTCTCTCTCCAGTTCTGCCTAACCTCTGAAGTGACACAAAGGCTACAGATGCATAATTCATGGAACAACCTCCCAGCCAAGGATATAGATTTGTTTGTTTTAGTCCAGCTGCAAATCCATTCAGCTTTTCAGAACCAATCCCAGGGATGGAATCCAGAAGTTTCAGACATGCGGGTAAAAACTAAAACCTCCGCTGGATTATTAACACCAAATTCATAATATTGGGACATCTTAACTGCAACACTTAGTTTATGGTTTGTGCTGAAAACTCAGAGACTTCGTGGAACAATCAATGTGAACTTAGTCTATTCTATGATTTTCAAGTTACTATAAATGTCAATGAAAATAAGCTCTGAAACATTCCCTTTCTTATCAGTGAAAATAAAAATAAACACCTTGTTGCTTTGATAGATGACTGCAAAAGCAGAATAGGAAAGGTTTATAAACCCTCAAGCTATAAATCTCAAATCTGTCAAGAAAGGAAGACCAAGGTGAAAGAAAGAGAAAGTAAACACCAAAGTTTCTTGTGGCATAAGTATAAGAAACAGACTATTACTTCTGTCTTAAACACACTGTATTAAGAAATCAAAGAACCCCAAGGAATAGACAACTTAAGATTTTTAATTTCTAGGTAGAATTTGATGGTAGATATCATATGGGCTCATTATGGTGCGAAACCAAAGGAAATGAAATAGATTTTTGCAGTTATCATCCAAGAAACATAACATTCTAGAAGAAATGAGTTTAATGTTTATGGCCCATAAGGGTTTTCAAATCCTTCTGGTAGAAAATTCCAGCGGTTGGTTTTTCAACATTTTTTAAATTATTATCCTCAAAAAAGGATTTTTCTATTAAAAAAATTACTCCTTTCCTACAGATGTTTCTCATGTATGTTATGGTTTTTAAAAGGTGAAAAAATAAAGGTGATAAAAATTAAACTGCAGAGATGTTTTGCCAGAAAGATGTTCAATAATAAGACAAGTTACTTTACCAAGGGAGGTAGTGAAATTTGTTCCCCCCTGGGCCCCCCCCCCCCCCCGCAAATCTTTACCTAGCAAATATTCTAGAGACGGGGTGGGAAACTAAAGTCCCCAGGTCCCTCCCAGTAGTAAGATTCTGTGAAATCAAAGAACTTCTACTTAGACAAGAAATTAAATACCTTTTGCAAAGAAATATTACAATTATCATGATCACATGTCATAAATTTTACTGAACATTTACTATTTCAAATATTTTATCATTGCTCCCATAAACCATCAAAATTGTGCCAGAAATTTCAATATTCTGGCATCTGAATCGCATTTTGCAGACTGCCTCTCACCCTTGGAAGTGGCACAAAAATCCTCTCTCATACCATGTGGTCCAATTTGGGTTTGGAAAATAGGTCACTATAATTATAATGATAATGTCTAACACTCTTACAGCACTTTATAGTGTTTCCACATCCTTTAACTCTCTGTTCCTTTCAATAACCCAGTAAGTTGGGTATTTGATTTCCACAATAAACTTCTGGTGAACCTAGGTGATACCTTCATTTTACAACCAAACATTAGAGCATCCAGAAAGTAAATGACAGGCATGAGACATCACACAGTAAAGTCAGAACAAAAATACAGATCTTCTGATTCTTACACCAGGCCTCTTTCTATGATCAATTCCATATAGTCCGATGTGTCAGCAATTCCAAAGAAACTACCTCCTTGGACCAATCAAAGAGTTGCAAGGAAATCATACCACAGGATGTCAATGTCACATATAAAGAGCTTTCCAACCAGGGCCTATATCTACCTATGTCGCTTGCTTTCAGACTTGATCATTGGCCTCTACTCTCCTCAATTATTTGTTTCGTTGGATTGTGTTCAAAATTCACTGTTAAATTTAATCTTCTCATTTTATAATTTTTTGCACATTGCATCTGACTCTAGTTGCTTTGTACTTTTAACATTTATCCCCATGCCTCCTCCTTGCCCTGTCTAATTCCCCTCTCGCTTCCAGGGCTCCTAAGGAAAAAAAAAGACAATCCTAACATTTAGTCTGAAAGCATGATCTCTTCCTAGAATTAAACAAACAAACAAAAAAAATAGGCCACAGAAAGATGGTGGAAAGGCTGGAAATTTTATTATTTCCCCATTCCTTCTGAATTCTTTTGATACAAAAATTTATTTTTGTTGAAACCTAATTCCCAGGACCTTCATTAGATTCTCTACTTATTCACCTGGAAGTACTGCACAAATGTCAAAGTTCAGTCTAAATGATTTTTCACTGACCGCTTTACCAGGTAAATAATAAAGACTGGACTTCAAGGCACTTTGAAAACTGCAGTAATTACAAATTCTCACAATACTTCTGAAATGCAACTACTTCAAGGTCTTCAAAAAGGACTAATGATTTTATTTTGAAAACACCAATAGACTTTAAAATGTAAGTAGGTACCACGGATTTCTTTCTTACCAGGCCTCATAAAACTGAGTATCAGTGTGTTTTTAACTTCGTATACTAACCAAGAGAGCACAAAGTTTTCAAAGAGCTCCCAATTTTTCATTCAAATGAGGGAAGAGCCATGTCCTGTCTCTCCCCACAAACATAATTCCTGTTTTCACTCCAAGTCCCAGGTCTGGTAAAATATGTCACCTATCCCAAATACACTATAAGTTACCTGAGGGCTGAAACCTCTTATTTC